TTTTTTGTAAAGCGCGACAATCCTGTTCATTTTGGTGGCGTGACGCAGACGATGTTACCCCCCGAAATCGTCGTCCTGGGGATTGGCAAAAAACTCCAGACGACTCCCTGAGTCTGGAACCCGATTCCAATTTCGTCTTCGACTTTTTGTCTCAGAGATACGATCACACTGACCACATTTGGTGGGGGGGGGGGGGGGGGGGGGGGCGGGGGGGGGGGGGGGGACGGACTTTTTTTTAGCCCAAGATTTATTGTGTTGGTAGCCAGCGGATTGTGGGCGTGGCTGAGTTGTGTGTTACAGTCTGCTCATCATGGGAGATAATAAGTTTATTTTTATTACTTTTTTTTTTATTTTAGAGTATCACATACGTTTTGTGGGAAGGCGTGGCCTAGCGGTAGAGCGCTAGACTGCTAACATGAAAGTCTCGAGTTCGAATCGGATTCGGGTTAAGCAGCTCTGATGGGTATCTAACTCACGTTAGGGAAAGTAAAGACCATACTATCACCTCATATGCCTTTGTCAAGAAACATATAAAATCTACTTCATCTGCCCAATGAATCTCTAGGTCTAAGAACGATTCTATACTTTATTTTTTCATAAGTTTCGCAGCTCAGTTATGATCAGAAATATTTATAAAATGGCAAGTGTTATGTGTCAGTGTGTATAATTCTTGTTGAAAACTTGTCATCAAATTTAAGTGGGTTTAATATTAAGGCGATCGTACATATATGTAGGCCTACTGGCAATGTAAGATTTCTATGTTTTCATGTAATAGCATGTTAAAAAATATATTGTTTTACCTGTAAAAAATGAAATCGTAAATCCCAAATTTAAAAAAATAAAATAAAGTGGAGGGTTTGTTAGTACTAATGTGAAAAGTTGTGTGTGTGTGGGTGGGGGGGAGGGGTGTACGGTCTAGGTTACGGTGGCCCAGTGCTTTGGGTAGGTCTCTGGGTAATGAATGTAGCGACTGAGGAAAAAAACGTGAGAAAAAAACTCGTCCATCTCCCTTAAGAACATGTTAATGGTTGTTGTGAGTGTAATTGCGTTACGTCTAAATGCGGAGTGGGGGGGGGGGGTGAGGCTGTATTTGTGAGAGAGTTTGACAAGTTGGTGTCTTGTAAAGGGGGCTGTATTTCAGTGATGTCGTCTGCACGATTTATATTTTGTCAGCAATTCTAAAAAACAAATAAATATTGCCTTTCATTTGCACAATCTAAAAGCTTCCTCAGTTGACCGGTAGCCATATTAGTTGTTTTTTTGTATTGTTTTTTTTTTATTGTATTGAGACCGCACTAAAGTACTTTGGTGAGTTTCACGCAAGAGAATTGGATTTTCCATTTACCGAACTCGGTGTTGCTTTTTATCTTATTTTAAAATAAATCTGGTTTTTCCTCTAGAGCAAATGGTAAAATATTATTCTTTTAAATTGGTTTAGTTTTACACTATCATACATCACCCTGGTTGAACCAAATTGTAGGATTCTGAGACACACAGACGGGAAAAAGAAACATAAACCAATGTTTTAAAAATGAAAAGAAAGCCAATATAAAAAGAGTTGTTTTTAAACTTTGAACTGAAATTTTGTTTTACCCTTTACAAAAAGAACTGTATTTATATTCTGCATTTTGTTGATACAGGCTTGTAGGCGCTTGATTTTACCATTAGTTGCTAGCCAATAATATTTTGGTGATGGTCGGAAACAAATTAATAAAGCTTTAATAAGATTGCCGAAAAACTTACTCAAGATTTTTTTTCCACAATTTCATCATGTAGGCCTATATCTACATGGGGATTCAATGATGTTTAAATATTTCAACAAAACTTGTATGCAATAATTTCTTAAAAGATCACTACTTTTATATATTGTATGAATAAACTCACTAAATGTCATATCTAGAGATCGAATCTATGAATAAACTCACTCAATAGATATCGACTACTCATATATATGATTTTTTAATTTTTTTTTTAAATATATACAAATACAAAAAAACCAAAGCAAAAAAAAATAGTTCATGAAAATCCCATTCGATTACTACACTAAGCCGGTTATTTTTTACCGGTTTTCTTTTCCGGTTTTCTTGCCTTCTTAACTCCAATCTGTCATGTCTCTTTTCTCGAGAAAACAAAAGCCAGCAATGTGATGGACTCCCCTTGCACGTCCGCGTCGTGTGCTCTAACGATTTCTGTTCTCCAATAGCCTCGTCTCTCGTCCATCTGACAGGTGACGGCGCTCTATGCAAATTTTTCATCACACTGCGCGTGAAGAAAAAAAAACACGTTACCTTTTCTGTCGAGCAATAAAAACAATGCACGAAGGCTGTTGTTTTTGTATGATAATCGGCATGATATGCTGAAACATGGAGTTTGGTTTTTGCGTTTTGTTTGAGTCTGAAAAGGAGATGTATTTAAAACAGATGTGGATATGTATTCGAATGTAAATATTAAGGGCTCCTACAAATTCGAATGTATAATTTGTAAACATATCTTCCAAGGATGCGCATGCAAGTATTGCATTTGTTTATATGGCTCTTGCTACGACACATGGGATATTTACCATCTTAGGAAACAGATAATAAGATATTTGAGGCACTTAATAAGATCTTTATACACGGCTGATAAGATATTTGTAGACAGTTGAAAAAAAAATCCCGTGCAGATGTGGATCGACAGCTGGGATAGAAACTCTGCATTGTAGTTTGTTCTTGGTGGGACAAAGGCTATGGAAGCAAGCATATACAAAAAGAAAAGCAGGCTGAAAACGGAGTCAACGGCTTTTATGGTGCATAACAAGTTGACATGTAACTTAATTGTGTTAGAGGGGATCTCTTCTAACTTTACTCTTAAGAACGAAGAAGTTAGTAAGACCACTGCAACAGCTGATATGATCTTTATAGACAACTTAACAGATATTTGCAGACAGTTCATAGGATCTTTACAACCATCAGATAAGATCTTTTCATACAGCTGAGAAGATCTTTGCAGACAGCTGTTATATTTGATAAGATCTTTTCTCCCGCAGCTGAGATGTGTACTGACAAGATCATTACAGACAGCTGAAAAGATCTTTACAGGCTTCTAAAGTCTAGCCACCTTTTGTCAACAGTTCCAATAATTCCCCGCCTCACTAACGTCCATTTGCAGACCTTGTTTACAAATCTTCACTGGAACTTTTCCTAACCGATCTCTGTTTTCTTGTGTCTTGTCAAGTCGGGCTGACCGCCTCTCCTTGCATGCTTGTTCTCTTGTGATCCATCCATATCTCTAGTCTCTAGGGGGTTCGCTCACCACCTCGTTGCTACAATGCAATTGAGTTTCTACAGGTCAAGAACATACAAGGGCATACGTTATTTAAATTCTTTGAATAATTTGTTGAACCGATTTTGTATAATAGACCTCCGAAAATAAGTTTTGTTAAGTTGTTAGTAGTATTGTATACTCATGTCTAATATTATGGTTAGAAATTAGAGTTAGGTGTATGGTAGGGCTAGGGTTGGAGTTTGGGTTAGGGATAGGGTTATCATTGACATTAGCAAGACATATGTGTAGTTATTTAACTATCAGTAACCTAACACCCCCTTTTAAGAAGATTCCATTATTGTGAAGTTATCAGACACCGGTTTAACTAATACACCCCCAGTGTTAAAGTCACAGTATATTTACATTTCACCAAGCATAGCTTCGCCATCATTCATTCAATATTACATTTTAATTTTTATGCTTAACAACGAGCATTCACAGGCATAATAAATGAGAATGTAAAATGTCGGATACAATTTGTTTCATTAACATCTCATAACGAATACCGTAAGGTGATGAATTCTTTGGGGCTTCTTACTTTAGGAATCTAAATATAGCTGGGACATGAAGTCATTTGCATGTGACCTAACTGTGTTCACTATCAGCACATCGGAAACCCATATTTTATTTGTGACATGAGGTAATGATGTGTTTGTGTGTTGCATTTGATCTAACTGTGACCCTATCAGCACATCAGACACCCATTCTGTTTATTTGCCACATGAGGTCATGATGTGTTTGTGTGTTGCAGGTGACCTAACTGTGACCCTATCAGCACATCAGACACCCATTCTGTTTATTTGCCACATGAGGTCATGATGTGTTTGTGTGTTGCAGGTGACCTAACTGTGACCCTATCAGCACATCAGACACCCATTCTATTTATTTGACACATGAGGTCATGATGTGTTTGTGTGTTGCAGGTGACCTAACTGTGACCCTATCAGCACATCAGACACCCATTCTATTTATTTGACACATGAGGTCATGATGTGTTTGTGTGTTGCAGGTGACCTAACTGTGACCCTATCAGCACATCAGACAACCATTCTATTTATTTGACACATGAGGTCATGATGTGTTTGTGTGTTGCAGGTGACCTAACTGTGACCCTATCAGCACATCAGACACCCATTCTATTTATTTGACTCATGAGGTCATGATGTGTTTGTGTGTTACAGGTGACCTAACTGTGACCCTATCAGCACATCAGACACCCATTCTATTTATTTGACACATGAGGTCATGATGTGTTTGTGTGTTACAGGTGACCTAACTGTGACCCTATCAGCACATCAGACACCCATTCTATTTATTTGACTCATGAGGTCATGATGTGTTTGTGTGTTGCAGGTGACCTAACTGTGACCCTATCAGCACATCAGACACCCATTCTATTTATTTGACTCATGAGGTCATGATGTGTTTGTGTGTTGCAGGTGACCTAACTGTGACCCTATCAGCACATCAGACACCCATTCTATTTATTTGACACACGAGGTCATGATGTGTTTGTGTGTTGCAGGTGACCTAACTGTGACCCTATCAGCACATCAGACACCCATTCTGTTTATTTGACACATGAGGTCATGATGTGTTTGTGTGTTGCAGGTGACCTAACTGTGACCCTATCAGCACATCAGACACCCATTCTATTTATTTGACACATGAGGTCATGATGTGTTTGTGTGTTGCAGGTGACCTAACCCAGGATCACGATCACTACATCAGACACCCACTGCAACCCACTTTTCTCAACACGCCCAACAACGTGACGTTTTACAAAGGGGAGGAGGCTGTGCTCAAGTGTGCCATTGAGCACAAGGGGACACGAACGGTGAGTACACGAGGGGGGGGGAATAGTGAGTACACTCAAGGGACAAACATTGTGAGGAGACACAGGGGGACAAACATTGTAAGTACTTATATGTGGAGAAATATTGTGAGTACACACAGGGGGACAAATATTGTGAGTACACACAGGGGGACAAATAATGTGAGTACACTGGGGGACAAATATTGTGAGTACACAGGGAGACAAATATTGTGAGTACACACAGGGGGACAAATATTGTGAGTACACACAGGGGGACAAATATTGTGAGTACACAGGGGGACAAATATTGTGAGTACACACAGGGGGACAAATATTGTGAGTACACAGGGGGACAAATATTGTGAGTACACAGGGGGACAAATATTGTGAATACACAGGGGGGACAAATATTGTGAATACACAGGGGGGACAAATATTGTGAATACACAGGGGGGACAAATATTGTGAATACACATCGGGACAAATATTGTGAATACACACAGAGGAACAAACGCACACACTAAGTACGCATTGGAGAACATGCACTGTGAGTACATACGCTATACCTAAAACACGCGGACACCTACACGCATAACACACATACGAACATACACGACCGTATTCAGGTACGAGAACATTAAAACACGCAGACACGCGCTATAGATCTCACGAACTAGCGTACACGCACACAGCAGCACACTTATTTACGTCCTGTAGTAAATTACACAACTTAAAGTAAATTATTTTGATCTCGATAATTAAATGAAACAACGCGCCAACGCACTTACGAAAAAATAAAAGATAATAATAAAAAACTGTAATGAAACGCTGAAACAAAATTATATTGCCAAATGCCAATACATTTCGCAATGGAAGTTCTGTTTTACCAAGATCTAGCTGGACTACGAATCTACTGAATCCACCTATTCGTAAAATACCAGTAGAACGTATTTTAACGCCTTGTTCTATTTCCGCTTTGATTCAATTACATTTCATTAAAAAAAAATTAACGAGCTAGATTTTTTTTAGACCTGACTGTAAAAATAAAGATTGTTTTTAAAGACAATACGACTCGCTCCTTAATGAGTACAGTCCGAGCGTGACGTCACTCTATGACGCGGAGTGCCTGTTTGTTTTGATGCTCGTGACCCGTGGTGCACCGAACCGTAGCGGGCAGGTGACGAGCCGTGATGCCGGAACTTGATCGCTTCCTCCTGGTTTCATCTCTTGGAGATTTGAAACCAAAAAATCTGGATGATTTAGGGGATAGACATTTGAAAAAGAAAAAATCGTGTTTTAGGGGGTGGGGGCAATATTTTGCGGTACACATTTGAAATAGCTGTTGTACATTTATAAGAAATTGTGAAAGAGATCGTATAGATTATTGGTGGAATGTTTAACTGCTCTAGATATTTAGAATTTTAAAATTCCTGTAGAAAATGTAAGAATTAGGGAGAAATCATAAAATTTGAGTGTAAAATTTCAAAGGTTAATGGTTATTATTTGAAAAATGTGCAAGGTTTAAAGAAGAAATTACACGTCCTTGACATTAGGGCTAGTTTCATTCCTATCAGGTCTGAGATGTTACTGCCATACCTGTCAGTTGTCAGACATTACTGTTACACCTGTCAGGTGACAGACATTACTGTCACACCTTGATGTCAGATGCAGTGTTTCTTCCAGACCTTTTTCTCCGGGGGGGGGGCACTTGAAATCTTCGGGGGGGCGGTAAACTTTCTTCGGGGGGGCGGACACTGTTAAAAGTATATATTTTCTATATAAATTATATAAATTTCATTTCGTTCGGGGGGGCGGTAAAAATTTTTCGGAGGGGCTTCGCCCCCCCCCCCCCCCGAAGAGATGCCTGGAAGAAACTCTGGTCAGATGTCAGACATTACTGTCACACCTTGATGTCAGACATTACTGTCACATTTTGATGTCAGATGTCAGACATTACTGTCACACCTTGATGTCAGACATTACTGTCACATTTTGATGTCAGATGTCAGACATTACTGTCACACCTTGATGTCAGACATTACTGTCACACCTGTCAGATGTCAGACATTACTGTCACACCTTGATGTCAGACATTACTGTCACATTTTGATGTCAGATGTCAGACATTACTGTCACACCTTGATGTCAGACATTACTGTCACATTTTGATGTCAGATGTCAGACATTACTGTCACACCTTGATGTCAGACATTACTGTCACACCTTGATGTCAGACATTACTGTTATACCTGTCAGGTGTCAAACATTACTGTTACACCTGTCAGGTGACAGACATTAGTGTCACACCTGTCATTACTGTCACACTTTGATGTCAGGTATCCAGACCAGTAGCCATAGTTTGACCCACCTTGGAGTAATCAACTAAAAGGGACTAAGACACGTGTAGTTGCGTCAATATACTCCACAATTTGAACGTAAATTTAGCGAGTTAAACTGAAGCTTTTTTCATTCTACAATATTAAAACAATGTCTGCGGTAGTACTTATATAATATCAGCTGTTTCTTTTTCAAAGTTCAATAAACCTATCAAGTTCCCAATCAAACTGTCTTTTCGCGTCAACCTAACAGCTCAATACAACCTTCCAAACCTGTTTCTCAACGGTCTAGTTGCCGGTGTATTGAATTGGTTGTAACAATTCCTGTAATAACCAGCAGGGTGTCCTCTGGTAACTATATGTTGTTACGGCGAGCTAAGAGCAGCTGTTGAGATAATTGTTACAGAGGTCATGTCATGCATGCTGTTCGATTTTGTACAGGATTTTGTCAGCGTACAGAGCCGTACAATGGAAGATGAGGCTCTGAACCAAGTTGTTGTCATGGTATTGATTGGCAAGTTCAGGAGTCCTGGTGGTTCTACAGCATTTTAAGCATATATATATATATATATATATATATATATATATATATATATATATATATATATATATATATATATATATATATATATATATATATATATATATTCATAATATGTATTGATCATCTGATATCAGAAACTGTTAACACTAACTTTATGTGAAAAAATTTAAATGAAAGCTTTATTTTTAAATAGCACTTATATATATATATATATATATATATATATATATATATATATATATATATATATATATATATATATATATATATATATATATATATATATATATATATATATATATATATATATATACTAGCGTACCCGTCCCCCGCGCGTTGCCGCGGGGATAGAAGTAAGTTTAACGAAATGTATTAGAAGGATTTCACCAACGCGTTACCAATCATGTGTTCTTAGACGCGTGACCGTCTTTTCTAAAAGTGAGTTATTTAAATGTAAACAATGCCTGCGCTTAGATCATAAATATCGGGACACGGGTTTACCTACACTACCGCATGTAAACATTGAGTGTACATTAACCACTCACCGAAATAATGTTAGAACACACTTTGGTGACCGCCCATGTGTCAGAGACGCAAAGGGGCGTTCTCAGCCCACCCCCCCCCCCCCATTACACTACCGCATAGGCGCGGCGTACGACCCCTGGCTCCTTAAAAGTAATAATGATGCAGATTTCGTCATTCGCTAAAGTGACACAAATGAACAGGATTTTTTTCTTTAACACGTAAAAAAAGTATTTGACGTGTTTTAAACACCAGTGTGACTGATGCAATAAGCTATATATAGCGTTACTAATGGTCTATTATTAGATGCTCGAACTCAATTTCTGACTGGCTTGTCTAATAGTAGATGCTTATTGCATCATTCGCAAAGGGACGAAACTCTACAGTAGGCTCCTAATATTCAAAAAGTTATTTTTTCATCTTTGGCAAGGTGATGAAACTGTACAGAAGGATTTCCTCGCGTTACAAAGTTATTTTTAGAAGACTGTTGTAGTTTTACCGCTGAATATAGTAGTACCCCTTACTCGCTATGCAGGACGCTCTATTAACGGATGCCAAGTGCCAACTTAGTTGCTCTAAAACTCTGGGCGCCAAACCATGTATTGACGAAAGTTGTACCCTATATGGTGCCGCCCGTAAGAAACTTAGTTTTCTTTTTCGCAGAAATATTCTCGGGGGTATTCTCATCTACTCCCTAAAGTTTCATGGCACTCGGATGAACCGCATCCGAGTTTTATTTTTTATATACCGTGTATAGAGAAAAAAAATCGCTCCCCCCGGGGGGCGCCGCCCTTGCAATATTAAACAATATTTTTTGCAGAACCCTACCATTGAGTGATCTAATCATCTCCCCAAAGTTTCATGGCACACGGATGAACGGTGTGAAACCGAAATTTTATAAACCGTATATAAAGAAAAATCGCAGCCGCCCGTGGCGCCGCCCTTGCGAAATTTAAAAAAAAGTTGTTTTTTTACGTAACCCTTCCCTGAATTGTTCTAATCAACTCCCCCAAAGTTTCATGGCTATCGGATAACGGTGTCATACCAAAATCGACTTATTTTTATAAACCGTATATAAAGAAAAATCGCACCTTCCCGTGGCGCCGCCCTTGCGAAATCAAATATGATTTTTTTACAGAACCCTTCCCTAGAGTTTTATAATGAACTCCCCAAAGTTTCATGCCTATCGGATAAACGGTGTCACTGCACTTAACTTTTATTATTTTTATATACCGTAAATAGAGAAAAATCGGACCCTCCCGTGGCGCCGCCCTTGCGAAATTAATTTTTTTTTTTACAGAACCCTTTCCTAGAGTGGTATAATGAACTCCCCAAAGTCTCATGGCTATCGGATGAACGATGCCAAAACAAAATCGACTTTTATTTTTATATACTGTATATAGAGAAAAAAAATCGCGCCCTACCGGGGCGCCACCCCTACGAATTTGAAAATGTTTTTTGCGCAAAAACCTCCACAGGAGTATTCTCAACATCTTACCAAAGTTTCATGGCGATCGTGAGAATGGTGTCACTGCAGTTCCTTTTTATTATTTTTATATACCGTATATAGAGAAATGTCGCACCCTCCCGTGGCGCCGCCCTTGCGAATTTGAATTTTT